AGTGATCTTATGACTGTTAGTAAGAAGCAAGCAGCTGTACCTCATTCCTTCCTTCCCTGGTGAGTTCTGTGGTTTCCAGCATGCTAGGATAAAACTCCTTGGTGTGACACTGTATGAACTTGGTGTTGGGTGGTGGTTTGGTTTTTTTTAATTCTATCTTGCTCTTACTGCAAAGACCCTCTGAGGCCCTCCTGGCCAAGAGCTGTTAGAATAGAGTTCCTGGCCTGGATTCACATGAACAGTATATTTGACAGCCAGTGAGCTAGGGTGCTGCCCGTAAAGCACGGTCCTTCCCTGCATGCTGTCTTTAGGATAAGGTCAAAAGCAACCGAAGGATATTTGGAAGGCTTGGGGACCGTGTGCCCCTTACAGCTTAGCAGTGCTCCTCCGTACTGTGGTGTAAGCCCTACGCCTTCCTCTCTTCCTCTCTTCCTCTCTTCCTCTCTTCCTCTCTTCCTCTCATGCTAGCCTGAAAAGCAGTGCACTGCCAAACACTGCCACAGGGTGCATGGGGAATAAGACTGCTGAATGATAGGGGTCCACTGGTTAGACGCAGTCACACCTGCTCTGTGGAGGGGACCTCCCTGCCCTGTGTTAAATCAGTAAATCATGTCCCACTTCTAAATTCTAAACCAAGAAAAGTAATGGTGGTACACCTGTGATCCCAGCACTGAGGAGGCTGAGGCAAGAGGATCACCATGACTTCAGGGCTATCCTGGGCAACATAGTGAGACCCTCTTTGTCTCAAAAAGAATGAAGCATGGACCTTGTTTTCCAGCACACAGGATTTCATTGCCAGGTCCTCTCAGGGTTAAGACCCCCTGGATCTGCCTGGGGCTGTCGCTTGGTGGAGGGCATGATCATCCCACACAAGGTCCTGGCCTGATCTCCAGTATTGAGTTGGGTTTGTCCATTGATGAGAATCTCCAAGGTGAAAGTAAGCCCCATTGGATCAAGCCCATCAGTGCTTTACCCTGTACTGCTTTTTTTTTTTTTACTGCAGGGTCTCACTATGTCATTCAGGCTGCTTTTGAACTCACTAATCAAGCTGTCCTGGAAGTTCCTATGTCGGACTCCTACATATGCCATCACACCTAGCTAATACTGGCTTTAGTTGAGTATTTCGTTGTAGTTCTTGGTGTATTTAAGGTAATGGATAATGTTACACATTTTATATCTTCTTTGCACCGGGGATTGAATTCAGGCCCTTGTGCTTACCAGGCAAGGGCTTATTTTACTGAGCCATCTCCCCGGCCCCACACATTTTATATCTTTTTTTTTCATTTTATATCTTTTAGTGGCCTCAGATGTACTTTATTCGTATGTCGGATCCTGCCCATATAATATAACACACAGTTTATTGCATTTTTCCAGCAGTTCTTGTCAGCCAGCCATGCTTTGGTTAACAAGCTACATTTACTTCTGAAATGACAGTTGCTTTTCAAAGATGAATAGCTGTTCCACAAATACAACTTTCAGAGCCTGGGCATTGTTTATACTTTTTGTTAATATACTTCTATTCATATTGATAGTAGCATTGTTTGCTGACTTTTGGTTTGGCCTCCCATTAATGTTTAAAATTATTTCATATTTACAGAAGTTTGATTTATAGTCATGGAAAGTCAATCTCTGGTTGCCGGGATGATACTAGAAATGTACTGCCAAAGGTATATGAGCACTGCCTTTGTTTTTTGTTTTGTTTTTTTTTGGGGGGGGGGTTTTGGCAGAACCGGGGATTGAACTCAGGCCCTTGTGCTTGTCAGGAAAGTGCTTATTCCACTGAGCCATCTCCCCGGCCCCTTTTTTGTTTGTTTCTTTTTGTTTTGTTTTTGTGAGCACTGCCTTTGTGGGTAGTACTTGTAACAGCTTCAGATTCTTGTCAAGAGTGGGTGCACATTATTGCATGTTGTTTACTAAGAGGGGTGCAGAAACAGAAAATTTCCAAGTTTTACCTGACAATCAGACTAATGTGTAGGGAAGAGGTTAGATAGGCACAGGCATTCTGGGAATCTGAGGCAGGACAATGGAAAAGACGAAGCCCAGCCAACTTACTGAGCCCCTGCCTAAAAATAAAAGAGATGAAAATGCAGGTCAGTCTCCCATGCTGTTCATATCTCCCTGATAAAGTTTTAAAAAGATGGAAGATGAGAGGCTTAAGAGTGTTGCTCAGCATGCATGAACATCAGCATGAGTTCACAACACCAAAAAAAAAAAAAAAGGAAAGAGAAGTAGAGAAAAACAGTGCAAAAGTAAAGGCCATAAGTATCCATGACAGGGTGTTTTTATCAGCAGTCCTGGTGTCGATGTCTGAAAATGGTTAGTTGATTACATTGTTGAATTTCCAAGCTAGGAATTCTGTAACGTATAGGAATGGGGCATTTGGCAAGCAAGTTTTACATTTTATTTCATAGTTTGATCACCAGCATGCAGCTTGAAAATATTTGGAAAAAACATTCCTGTGATCATATTGCTATAGAAAAGCCCCAAAGACTGGACAACAGAGCACTTAGGAGTTGACCAGTGGGCCTGGAGCTTCTGAGTGTTACAGTAAAATTTCCCTTCCTGAGATAAAGGAAGCTGAGCTTGAAGTTAGTTTGTCCTGACTTGAAAAGCTAGGCTTTTTGTACAAGGCTGCATTCTCTGTGGTGATACAGTAACCCACCAAGTAAAACATTTGTGTAGAATGCATTATTGGATACATTTGTTTTTGCATTTTAGGTGGATTTTATTTAAGTTAAAGGTACTGATTAAATATTTTTGTTCCAGTGAATAGAATAAATGAAAGCTGGCCATTTAATAGGAGGGGCCAGGGAGATGGCTCAGTAGAATAAGCACTTCCCTGGCAAGCACCAAGGGCCTGAGTTCAATCCCCGGTTCTGCCAATAAATAACAAACAAACTTAATAGGAGAGCTGGGGAGAGAGCTCAGTGACATAAGTGCCTGTCTGGCAAATGCAAGGTCTTGAGTTCGATTCCCAGTACAAAATATAAGTAAAACATTTAATAGAAGCTGGGTGTAGAGCACACAGCTCTAATGCCACCACTTGGGTAGATGAGGCAGAAGGGTCACCATGAATGAGTTGGAGGCCAGCCTGAGTTACATAGTGAGTTCAAGCCCATCCTGAACTGCATAACTAGAGCCTGTCTCAAATAAATAGGTTTAATAGGAAGGTCACGCCTTATTCTTATATAAGTGGCCTTTTTTGGTGGAACTGGGGATTGAACTCAGGCCCTTCCGCTTGCCAGGGAAGCGCTTATTCCACTGAGCCATCTCCCTGGACCCTAAGTGACCTTTTTTTTTCCTAGTCTTCTCATGCCTAGTTGAATACAGTAACTCCCTAAAATTGATGGTCTAGCTGGTGTTACATTGCTTTAATAATTATGTACCCTTAGTTTGAACTGTCTGCTTCCTGTACACAAATTTACATCAGTCCTAGCATAACGTCCTTTAGGTTATGCCTAGGCTATGATTTGATTTACTGAAAGTATAAGGTCTCATGCAGACAAACCAAAATTAACTTCTCTAGTAAAATAAAAATAGCCTCAACTTTATTTAGTTTCTACCATAGGATGAAAGAAATTTGATGAGTTGAACCGAGTATATAGAGTTAACTCCTTGGAAATAAAGCTATTAGTGTCTTAAAAATTAAGAACTTTTTGGAAGTCAAAGTTTGGTTTGGGGACCCCTGAAAAGGAGGGAATGTTCCTCCAGGAGGGCTATTACAGGGATTACACTCTAGCAGGGTGCCTAGGGGAGATGGGGAGGGGCCACAGGAGAAGAAAGGAAGGGCTCAGCAGGTTCAGCGCAAGTTGCCTGGGCGTGTTAACAGGCAGCCAGGACTCAGATCTAGAGGGTGAGTAGTAGTCTGCCAAGGGGACTTGTTGTATCTTGTTTACATTACAAGAAATCATTTTCTAGATAACCTAAGAGCCAGTGAAAGTCAGCAAAGCTAAGCTATTAATTCAGGATGGGAGTTCCAAAGGAGAGCAGCTGATCTGGGGGACAGGGAGGTGTGATGGATGGGTGGGGGGATTTAGCCTGAAGTGCCTCCCTAAGGACCAGAGATGACAGAAACTAGTTCAGGGTGGACAGTCACCTGGCTTATTTCTGGGTTTCCAATTACAGTGCCATTTTCTTGCACTTCTCACAGTTGGCAACTCAGTTTTGGCTACTTTAGGCCAAGATTTTTTTAAGCAGGTGTTTTTACAGAAACCTTTTGAGGAAATAAGTAACTCTCATTAAGAGTAAGGGCTAAAAAAAAAGTGTAAGGGCTGGCAAGATAGCTCAGCGGACTAAGCGTGTACTTAGGCAATCACAGGGGCCAGAGTTCAGTACCTGGCACTGCATGTCATGCTAGCCCTGTCCCACAGTCCCGATGATCTGGCGATGGAGTCCGGGCGTGGTGGCCCATGCCTGTAATCCCAACACTAGGAAGGCTGGAAACAGGAGGATCGCTAGGAGTCCAAGCTGCATGGTGAGACCTGCGCGCGCACATACGCATACACTGCACACACAAAACCTAAGAAAGAAGTTTTAGAAGCCTGGGAAGCTCAAGGTCTCGAGTTTGATCCCTGGTACAAAAAAGTTTAGGAACCCCACCTTCAGAGCCTGTTGCAGTAATTTCACCAAGTCAGATCACCTAAGAGACCCGCGTTGGCTCTCTTGCTGTAATTAGCATCACTTTAGCTACAGATTGTCGGTAAAGCCACCTACCCCCAGTCATGGGTCTTTTTCTTTCATTTCACGCTGCAGTTGTATTTCCAGGACTACAGGCCTGCAGCTCCCTGCCACTGCTGTGTTGCATGGCACACGTGGTTGCATTTCAGTAAGCTGCACTGAGCTGGTCTTCAATGAGTAGCAAAGGTTTTTTAGTACTAATCTAAGGTTCCTCAGGTGTTGTTAAGTGATGACATGTTCCGTACTGAGCAGTTTCATTGACAGCTGTCAGCAGGCAGAACTGTTGAATAACGCGGATTGTGATGTGACTTCTGTTTTGGCAGTTTGTTGCATATTCTAAGGACCCAGACAGACAGACCTAGGCTTGGTGGCCCATCACTTGTTTTTCCTGGTTTATGACTTTCGGCTTTGTGGAATACGGCTGAGATGAAAGGATTCATTGACGATGCAAACTACTCCGTTGGCCTGTTGGATGAAGGAACAAACCTTGGAAATGTTATTGATAACTATGTTAATGAACATACCCTGGTAAGTGTGCCAACCCCCTCATTGCTAAGGATGTTAGCGCTTTGTTAATCCTGGAGATGTTAATCTGACAGGAGTGCCTAGATTGACTTTTCCAGACTGATTGAACATACTGCCCCACCCCCACCCATTCCTTTTGAATAGTACAGTTTATTTTTAGCCTGCGCTAAAAAATAATGCTTTGGGGGGCCGGGGAGATGGCTCAGTGGAATAAGCGCTTCCCTGGCAAGTGCAAGGACCTGAGTTCAATCCCCGGTTCTGGGGAAAAAAAATAATAATAATAATGCTTTGGGGCCGGGGAGATGGCTCAGTAGGATAAGTGCTTGCCTGGCAATTACAAGGGCCTGAGTTCAATCCCTGGTTCCGCCATAAATAAATAAATTAATTAATTAATAAATTAATAATAATAATAATGCTGTATAAAATCCCCTTTCTCAGCCAGGCCTCTTAGCACCTGGCTCTTTGCCACAGTCTTGCTTATGTTTGTAGAGTGCATGCTGGATGTCCACACTCTCCTGCCCGAAGTCCATGCCTACAAAATTCTACTCACAGTTTCTTGAAGTCACCTGCTTTTTTTTTTTTTTCTTTTTTCTTTTGCAGTACCAAGGATTGAATTCAGGACCTTGCTTTTGCCAGGCAGGTGCTTAGTGCTGCTAAGCTATATCCCCAGCCCCCATCTGCATTTTAGATGGTAGAATTATTTTCATTTACTGACTTACTAGTGGGGATTTATTTGTTTATGGGAGGGAGCTAACAATATTCTGTATTCCCCAAGTTTGAAGAATTGCTCTCATGTTACTTCAGTGCTCAGTAACAATGCGATTACCAGTAGTGCCTTCTCTTCACCAGTCTGTGGATGCGCTTGTCTCCTCCCACCCCAGCAGAACCCTGTGACTTCTCCCAGCCAAGTACTCACCAGGCCTGACCCTGCTTAGCTTCTGAGGTCAGACGAGATTGAGCGCGTTCAGGGTGTGATGGCCGTACGCAGCCCTTGACTTCTCTCAGCCCCTGCCAGCAGACCTCTTGCAGCAGTGGCTAGCATAGCTTGTGCTATTATGCAGACTGCTGTGAAGCTTTCTTCAGGGAGTTCTCCACAGTGGAGTGCTCCCAGGCACATTTGATGGCCTTCCTTTATCCACTTAACTTTTCCCCTTTCCTAGGATTTTCTTCCTAGAGGTCTGCACCCACGTGCTTTTGTCCCCATCCTAAGTGCCCACGCTTGGCAGTGATGACCGGTGGGGTCTCCATCCTGTTCTGGGCCTGCCTTTACACACAGGAATGGTGGCCTCACCATTTGCCTTTTCCATTTTGTGCTGCTTTCATCTGTTTTAATTTTGTTGCACGTTTATTATGTCAAAGTTTCCCATTAGTCAAATTAATTTTCCATTACTTACTATGATTTTTCATTTCACATTTTGCCCAAGAAGGGAAAGTGAAGTTGGATGTGGTGGTACAGGCCTATAATACGAGCACTATGGGAGGCTGAGGCAGAAGGATTGCAAATTTAAACTCAGCCTAGGCAACTTAGTGACTCAGTTGAAATCCTACCTCAAAATAGAAACATACAAAAAGAAAGGGGCTAGAGATAAGGCGCTCAATGCAAAAGCCCCAGGTTCATTTGTCAAGTGTGTGTCGGGGTTTGTTTTTTGAGGCAAGATCATTCCCCACAGTCTAGGCTGGAATGAACTCATGATTTCTTCTGGCTCCTCTCCCAAGTGCTAAGACTATGGGTGTGTGCCACTATACCCAGTTTAAAAGTCGGTTTTATTGTCTTTTGAGGAAAACGTTTCCTGAATGGGGCTTATGGGACACTGGGTTTTGTTTTTTGAGATGCAGTCTCAGATCACCCAGCCCAAGCTCGAGTAATCCTCCTATCTCATCCTCCCAAGTAGCCAGGACTATAGCGATGCTCTTAAGAATTTATAAAAATGCAAATCTTTTTAAGAGCTCTTTCTGCTGTATTGCTAAATTCTACCCTGAGCTGCCAAAGGAGGTCTGTTGTGAGTGGTAGAACGAAACAGCCCCTGCCTGTCGGTCAGCCCCACGTTTCTGGGCAGGGTGAGGACTGCCAAGGGGCTGTCTCAGACAATACCCCTGGGTTCAATAAGATAAACTTGAGACGATCTGATTCCAAAATAGGAAGGTCAGTGTAATTGATAGATTTTTTTTAAAACCTCAAAAAATTTTACATGCCAGTGCAGCACAGCAGAATATCAAGTTTGTAAAGATAGCTGAAAAGCATACAGATCTCTTTACAGTGCCAAATATAGCACGGTTACTCTTAAGCTTTTAAAGTCCTCTTGTGTAGAAGGACAATGTCTTTCCTTCTTGGGATGCTATCTCTTATTCTTTGTTCTCTTTCATAACAAAATAGACAGGGAAGAGTGCGTTTTTTGTGGGGGATCTCGGGAAGATTGTGAAGAGACACAGCCAGTGGCAGAGTGTGGTGGCTCAGATCAAGCCATTCTACACGGTGAGGTGCAACTCCACCCCGGCCGTGCTGGAGGTCCTGGCAGCTCTGGGCACAGGCTTTGCCTGCTCCAGCAAGGTGAGGCTGTTCACCCTGGCTTGGCAGCCATGTAAGGCAGTGTGAGAGGAGGTTGGGCTTTTGGGTGGAGTAGTGTAAATGTAGGCAGCTATAGGACATGCGCTGATGTTTTAGGTATACTAATAAAAGGGAAGTTTGAGTGTGATGACCCTTTGGAAAGCTTTATTAACAAAAACATACTTGTTCTTAATCATTATGCTAGCACTATAGCATATGTTTAAACAGAGCATTACGAACTGAACTGATGCTTGACCTTAGTCCAAGCGAAAAATAACATAAGCTAAGGAATGTGTAGTCCATGGTAGAGCCACCTGTGTAAGACACAGGCGGCCTTGGCTTCAATCTCTAGTGCTTTAAAAAGTGTGTGAGAGAGCGTGTGTGTGTGTGTGTGTGTACGTGTGTGCACGCGCGCGCATGTACGGGGTATGATCAGCTGAAAAGGAGTTGAAAATTTTGCCAGTGACTATTCAAAATGTCTTCACAGAATGAGATGTCTTTAGTGCAAGAATTGGGTGTATCTCCAGAAAATATTATTTACATAAGTCCTTGCAAGCAAGTTTCCCAAATAAAATATGCAGCAAAAATTGGAGTGAATATCATGACATGTGACAATGAAATTGAATTGAAGAAAATTGCTCGTAATCACTCAAATGCCAAGTAAGTATTAAAATTTAAGCAATTGAACATGTCTTACTGCTGAGGGGATGTCATTTGTCCTTAGCCTAGGAAGAAGGGCTTTTGGTAGGAGAGCAGTGTTATGTCATAATTACACCTTGATGTGTTGAGAGTTTCTGCATTTAAAATGCCAGTGGCATGTTTGACACCTGCTACTATACCCCTTGGTGTGGACTTGAGAAATGATCTTACATGATCTGTAGCTCAGGGGAGAGAATGTGGTACGATGGTTAGTGCCACAGCAGTGTAATGAGTTAAGGTCTCAGAAATATCTATATATTTTTTTTTTAAACTGACTTCAATGTTAAGGTGTTGTGACAACATAAATTACCTTGAAAAACTTTTGAACAAAAGAGGAAGTTTTAGGGAATGACTGTCCTTAAAAAAAAAAAAAAAAGAAAGAAATTGGACCTGCTTAATGTTCAGAAGATGCGCTCTACCATGAGGCATGAGGTCTTTCCTGGCGAGGTTGTAAGCTCATTGGTGCCTTCTCCAGAGCCCATTCACACTAAGCTTCTGTTTCTTTCTCTCAGCTTTGCCTCAGCGCTACTTGTTCATCAGGACCCCTTCAGGAAATGCACAGACAAGCATTAGGGTTTTGTAGGTCAGTCTTGGTTGTCCTGGTTTAGAGGAAATACCAGAAAGATGTGGACACATACAATAATTAAAAACATCTGTTCTGTACCAGTTAGAAATCTCCTCAAATGTAAGAGGTTAACTGCAGAAGCTTCCAAAATGTAATTAAGGGTTAGCAACCTACTTTAATATTTACAGCCCTCATATTTTTATTGAAAGACATTGATGACATTGCTATTGAATTTAGTCTTTCTAGGTGGATTTATGGACCAATGGACTTCATTTGAAAGTAATGTCGTCTTTCATTACAGAGCCCAACTTACTCTTGGTGCTACAGCAGTCTTAACTTGCTGCATTTTCCAAAATCCCGTCCTTGTAAGCTTCTTGCCTTAGGCCCTAATTGCTAGTTTTTTCTCTGTACAGGATTGTTTTTCTTTAGGTTCACTTGATTCATCCACCGCTGGATTTGGGAGCACTGGCAACATAATCAACATACTTCCTACAACCTTCAGGCTTCACATGTGCTGATGATGATGTAAACCAACTCTGCCCCAATCATCTTCCCCTTCTCTTAGGGTCTTACTACATCTTGCAACAGAAGATGATAGTGGAGGTGAGGAGGGTAGCATGAAGTTTGGCTCCACGCTGAAGAACTGTAGGCATCTCTTGGAATGTGCTAAGGAACTTGATGTCCAAATAATTGGAGTTAAGTGAGTATTCCTTTTCAAACTTTTTAAGGTGATAATCTTTCTGGTTATTAATTTAATAAAAACTTCATTTGTATGAAATCTAAGATTCAGTGTCTTTCACTTATTAAGTGTAGGTTTTAAGTTTAAGGGAAAAAAAAATGTTCTCCTTTATGCTGCCCCCAATACACAGGCAAAGTAATCAGTATAGAGTAATGTAAATCATAAGACCAACCCACCACCACCAGGATCCTCCAGTGCAGAGTTCTGTACATACTAGAATTCAAATGAATTAAATAAAATGGCATTCAGCTTCTAGGTTGTACATAGCACTTTATATCTGCTTCTCATCTGATTTTTCCTTTTAATTGCTCATGGGCATTTCACTTGATGTTACCTTGCTAGTTCTTATTTGTGGAAACTTGGTATCATTTTATTCAAGAGCTTATAAATGGATCAGATCAAGGACCAGCCAAATAGTTCAGTGGATTAAAGCACTTGTGTGCAGGTGCAGAGGCTGGGGGTTCAATCCCTGGGCCTGCTGTGGTGGTGCACGCCTGTAATCCCAGCTCTTGGGAGGCTGAACACAGGTGGATCACTACAAATCCCATGTAGTAGTGAGACCCTGAACACCCTGTAGACCCTCCCCTAAAATACCAAAAAAAAAAAAAAAAAAAGGATCAGATCTAGTTAACTGCTTAAATTTGAGTAATTACTGCCCAAACAAACATTAACCCTATTTATACCAGTTAAAATTATTAAAATAATCAAAATTTTTGGTTTATTAGTTTAAGAAAATTATATTCATAGTTTATCAGTAATAATTTGATTTGATTTTTTTTTTTTAAGACAGGGTCTCAACTATGGTCTCAACTTTGTAGCCCGGGGGCTGGGGAGAAGACTACTATCTGTGTAGTCTCAGATGCTACTATAGACTACTATCTGTATAGCTCAGTGGCTTAATTGCCTTCCTGGCAAGCACAAAGTCTTGAGTTGAATCTCCAGTATCAAAAAAACCCAAACAATGTGCCCTGGGCTGGCCTTGAACCAAAGCAGTCCTGCCTCAGCCTTCCCAATGCTGGGATCACAGCTGTGCCCAGCTTTAAATACCATTTTAGTGTTTTCCTAAAGAACTATAATAGGATGGCATCTGGTCTGTTAAATCAGCACCTGTCTTTGCATCTTCATAAGCCAAGAACCCTGAGAAAGTACCAGCTGTCTGATGGGACAGTCCTACAGACCACAGGTGGTTTAGGCTGGCAGGAACAAGTGCATTAATTCAAGCCACCTACCAACAAATTACTGCCCCGGCAGGAATACATTAACGATTTGATCATAGTCTCAGGACAATCTGACGCAGTAACACTAAGCCTCGGGTGTTTTCACAAAGATGTATAATTTGTGTATCTTGCATGTTTGCCTGTACACACAGATAGTAGTCTTCTGACTGTTGGGATGCATACATTTCTGTGAATTTTCATGTCTGTATAATCACTGTCAAATCAGGGTACAGCAAAACTACAGTTAAACTTCAGCATTCTTTTCTAAGTCTTTAGTGTCACTAAGAAGTAATAACTAATGAGTACAGCCTACCTGAATGAGTGCTCCTATATTTATTTCACAATAGAAACTTACATTCGGTTAGATGACACTGAGTGTTGAAAAGGAAGGTGCTGCGATCCCATCAGTTGCTGTGTGTTCCTCATACATACATGCAGGTGTGTCATGTCATGACCCGAAGTATAACTGATGCCTGATCAGTGCAGTAGGTTGTGTCTGTGGCCTTATACCATTTGAACTTTGCTGCTGTAAAAAAACTGGGGTTGTATGTTGTATCTTGAGTAATTAGAAGTTACCCTACTAGCAAAATTAGGTGAAGTTGCTGTAGCACTTGTGGATCAGGATGGTATGTGATCATGGAAAGAAACTACAGGAAGTGCCTTGAAAATTTACTACAGCTTTAAATGTGTTTCTCTTTCTTTTAGATTCCACGTTTCAAGTGCTTGCAAAGAACCTCAAGTATATGTGCATGCGCTCTCCGATGCTCGGTGTGTGTTTGATATGGCTGTAAGTTCCTTAAATTTTGATATTTTAAGCCAGGGATGTGTTCAAGACTTTTCCCTGCCTGTGTGAAGTAACTGTCGTTACACCTGAGGACAACTGCCTTGTTTTTGATAAAGATTCAGGGCTCCACATAGCTATGCTGTGTAGCAATTTATGTCCTACACGAGTACAGGCAAGACTAAGAGGGCATTGAATTAATGAATTACATTTTGGAAAAGCATTTCAAATCTTTTCATCTGTAGGGAGAATTTGGTTTTACGATGAGCATGTTAGACATCGGTGGAGGCTTCACAGGAGCTACCTTTCAGCTGGAGGAAGTAAGTGTTTTTGGCTACTGAGCTGAATAGTCTTTCTTTGTATGTTTCTCCCTGGTACGAATGATTAAATTGAATCTGAGGCTCCTGGGATGAGTTATAGCCCCACCCAGGCCATTTGTAATTTCCCTAGAACAGTCTCTTAAGTTACCCAAGATGGGCTGAATCATAGTGAGACAACCAAGCTAACTCTTTTTGCAGTTTATGATGCTTTGCTGCGCCTCTCCCCCCCACAAAAAAAACAAAAAAAAATCACAGATTTCTTTTTCTTTGGTTTTGAGTTCTGAGTCCAGAGCTTTCGGAACGATATGCAAGTGTTCTACCCTAAGCCATACCCCAGCCCACCAGAAGTGTTCAGGGACGCCCGTGTCCCGGACAGACTCCCAAAATGAGGCCCAGGTGGCCAGATGTGCTTTGGCCCACCCTACCTATCCTCATTCTGTTCTGTACTTTCTAGAAACTGCTGCCAGCAAGTACACTGTGAGGGTTCTGCTTTTCTTTTAAATAAATGTCATGCTGATAGTTATGAAATAAGCTTGAGTTTCAAAGTCTGCTTGGTTATTTGAGGATCACCTGCTGAACAGCTGTACTTTGTGGTTTATAACTGAAGCTGCCATATTTCCTTAGGAAACAGTAACATCAGGCTGTTTAATATTGTGAATTCTGTAGCTTAATATTGAAACTGTAACCTTTAGAATTTAAATTGCACAGGTCAATCGTGTTATCAGCCCTCTGTTGGATGTCTACTTTCCTGAAGGCTCTGGCACCAAGATCATTTCAGAACCTGGAAGCTACTATGTGTCTTCTGCATTTACCCTTGTAGTTAATATCATTGCAAAGAAAGTTGTTGAAAATGAGAAATTCTCCTCCGGAGGTAAGTTGCAAAGTTTATTTGATTTTCTTAACAGATGATTCAGGTTAGTTTGGAGATGCATAGGTGGTTATAGGATTACAGGTGATCTCCCACCGCTGGCAGCTAGGGAACAATTCAAAAGGTCACCCGCATCCTGTTCTATAAGGCTGCAGCACTTCAGACACTCCTGGGTACTGGTACCTCGACTTGTGGCTTGGATGGATTGCAAAGCTCATTCTCATCCCTTGTTGCTGTCACTGTTTGATTCCTCTACCTCGGTTGGGTCCATGGGAGCACCTATGTGGTACTCTTAACCTGAGCGCCACTAAAGAGCCCTCCCCATCCAACTCCAGGTCAGCCCCCTGAAAGTGTATGAAGGTCTGCTTAACACCTGGTGCCACTGTTGTGATTTTCTGCAAATGTGACTTGTTTTCACGTGGACAGATCCCTGTAGTCCATGGGAACATGATAGTTTCCCCTCGCTAGAGTGTAATCTAGGACCCCACTCTGCAGTTGCCATTTCTTTTTTTGTCTTTGAGACAGGGTCTCGCTGTGCTGTTCAGGCTGGCCTTGAGCTCACTTTGTAGCCCAGGCTGGTCTCAAACTCACCATCCTCCTGCCTCAGCCTTGTGAGTGTTGGAATTCCACACCTGCTCCCTTTTGTCTTTTCTTTCCTTGAACATTTCTGGAGAGGGGCCCTTGTCTTAAGTGTCCTGTTTAGGTTTTAGACAAATCTCCAAGATCTTAGGACTAGGAAGCATATGCTGCCCCATTGCCAGGACTGGTGTTTTGCTTAGTTAAGGTGGTGTCCAGCTCGTGCCTGCATTGTTGAAGTAGTAGGGGCTTTGTGATTGTGTCGTGTAATCCTCAGCCTTTCACTCATAAAGGTCAGCATCTGTCAGTTGCCAGTTCCATTATTCAGGCTGCACTAGTGGCGTTTATCTAGGTAACTTTTCTTTTGTGCATATGTATTTATATATGTTACTTACTTGGATTAGTTGAGACCCATGGATGTGCAGTAGGTCATAAATAACATACGGTGGTACTCCGATTCATGAGTTTCTTTCTTTTTTTCTTTTTTTGTGGAACCGGGGATTGAACTTAGGCCCTTGCACTTGTCAAGGAAGCGCTTATTGTACTGAGCCATCTCCCGGCCCACAAACTTCTTTATTTCCATAATTTGCAAAATTCATTGCATGGTTTTGGTCACAACTGAATTGCAAGCATAGTAACAGGAAAGGTCTAGTACTGCCTTTGTCTCACTGTCCCAGCCATCAGTTGTTGGTGCGTTGAGATTCGCCAAGCCTGCTCTCCTTTCCCTGCCTCTGTCCTACTGTCCTGGGCGTTTGTGCTTACTGGCGGCTCTCTGTGTGAAGCATGTATTCAGTTTTTTAAGCCAAGTTTTATTTTAAGGTATGTCAATACATAGTTCTTTTAAAAGTTAATTTAAAGGTTTTGAGAAATGAGAATACTAGTTTTATAGAGACTAGCATCTGTTTCAGTTCTCTTGTTGCTGGGACAAATAACCGACACCCAAAATATGAAGGAAAGGTTATGTAGCTCACAGTCACTGGAGGTTTCAGTTCACACTCAGCTGGCTCCAAGGCAGAGCGGCACATGGCAGAGAGCAACCTTTCATGGCGGCGGCAAAGAGCAGAGAGCAAAAAGGAGGAGTAACAGCAGCAACAAATCTCTACAGGGAGCAAGTCTGTCTCCCTTGAGTTGCATTCAGGGCATCCGCCCCAGGCTGGGAGTAGCACTCACACCCATAATCCCAGCAGCACTCACCAGTAATCCCAGTGGATCATGAGTTAATCACAAACTCTAGAAGTCTGCCCCGTGACTGCATGAGGCTTTGGGGGACAACGAGACACCATGACACCGTGCTTGATAATGTAGCTTTTATATGTATGATCGATTAGGCATTTTGCTATAAATGTACCTTCCTCTTTCCTGTTTATTTCAGTAGAAAAAACCAGGAGTGATGAACCAGCCTTTGTGTATTATATGAATGATGGTGTTTATGGTTCTTTTGCAAGTAAACTGTCTGAGGACTTGACTTCCATCCCAGAGGTTCACAAGGCAAGTTTTATTACAAAGCAGTACCACAGATTGTTTTGTTGGTGAGAAACCTAGTTGTATGGGAAGGGTACAGCTCAGCGTAAGGCACTGGATTCAGTCCCTACCCCCTTGCCACCTCTGCCTCCAAACAGAAATGGGGGGATTAGCTGTTATTTTTCTGCCCTGCAGTATGGGGACTAAACCCAGGGCCTTTGTAATCTGCTATATTGCCAGACCCCTCCGTAAGTTTTATTTTTATTTCACTTTTTCAACAAGGTCTCCCTAAATTACCCATGCTGGCATTGAACTTGTGGTCTTCTTGTCTCCGCCTGCTGAGTGCTGGGATTATAGGCATGCTCCACCATGCCCAGCCCCTAGCTGTTGTTTTATTTTTTATTTATTTATTTTTTAAATTTTTACTTATTTATGGGGGGGGCAGCTCAGCCCACCAGGGGCAGTGCTGGCTGGCATGTGGTGCTGGGGGATTGAACCACGGTCCCTGTGCTTTGCTAAACTTGTTCTAAGTAGGTGCTTTAGACCACTGAGCCATCTCACCAGCCCTCTAGCTGTTGTTTTAAAGCAATACTCTGGTTCTTGAGAAATACTGTAGGATGAATACAGCCCTTTTTTTGAGGATTCGCATCTGTGGCTACATCGTCTGCTGCCACCCACCGTTGTGGAGTGCCTGGTGCTGAGCTGAAATAGCACTTTCTGCCACACCCTCTCCCTGGATGAGCATAAGTAAAGGGTAATTTCTTGAAACTTTCTCTTCAGAAATTGAAGAAGGATGAGCCTCTGTTTCCAAGCAGCCTGTGGGGTCCATCCTGTGACGAGCTTGATCGGATTGTGGAACGCTGTCTTCTTCCAGAACTGAACGTGGGTGACTGGCTGATCTTCACTAACATGGGAGCAGACTCTTTGCAGGAGGCATCTGTGTTTAAGGATGTGCCGAGGCCAGCTGTGTACTACATGATGTCGTTCAGCGACTGGTAAGGTGGGGTGTTTCTAGAGTAGATGGGCTTTGATGCGCTGACGCCTGTGTGATCACAGCCTGTCCCCACTTGGCTCACCTCCTGACACGCCGCTTCTCTCCCTCAGGTATGAGATGCAGGATTCAGGCGTCACCTTGGACACCATGATGAAGAACTACTTCTTCGTGCCTTCTTGCCTTCAGCTGAGCCAGGAAGATGGCTTTCCCACCGAGGCTTAGACAGGCCCCATGCCCTGCGGTCTGAGGTTGTGGGTTGTGCTTGTCTGGTCTACATTCCAGGGTGGAAAACAACCCAGTCTCACTCTGGTCATTCTCGCAGAGACAAAAGTTAATAGGCTATGTGGGACCAGACAAAATCAACTTTCATCTAGAATTCATTGGGGTAACGGGAGATTTAGATAACGTGTCCAGATTAAACCTAACAGTTTGTCCTACCCTTTAAGCTTTGAAAATAAAATATGCAACAAAATGGATGACTTAGTGGAGATGGAAGCCCACGACCTGGGTTCCCCCATTCAACCGTTTACATACAAGTACACAGTTTTTATACTGAGGATTCGTGTCCAAAAGTCTTGTAAAGTTAGATCTTCCACCCAGGTAGAGCACATGTCGGTGGGAGACCAGTGTGGCTTCATTAGATACGTTTAGTGTATTTAGAGTGTGTAAATTTGTGCTTTGAACTGTAGTTTAATGTAAAATTGCATCATAGTATTTGTTGTATTTGACCTAATGTAACCCTTGTATGATTGCAATAAAATTTTGTGTAGATTTTACTGTTCACAGGCTAAAGTTTTGGGGAAGGGACTAGCTAGCAAAGATAGTTTTGAAATAGATGTGTATATTATCTGTTTTGAGGGTTATTTTTCTTTATGGTTTAATTCAGTTTGGTTCTGTACGTTTTTTCAGTTATTTAATTAGTAATTTAAAGTGTGTAGTAAATCATTGTGAAGTTCAGATTCATTATGGAGAGTTGATGTGCAGTAAGCATGATGTTTAACAATTTTAACACCAAAAAATGTTACTCCTGCATAAACCGACTGTAACAATTAGTAGGTGTTTCTGTATAGGTAGAGTGCATAGAGTACCTTAGTAAATCTTGGAATCACAAATCTTTTGGCTGACACGGGAGATTTCTATTAAATACTTATGAATAAACTTGGTGGAGAAGGAAGTAAAATTGCAAGAACTGCAGAGCACTAAAACTCAAAGAAGGGCTACATCTGTATCCAGAAAGCTGATTTTCCTTTTTTGCATGAAATATTTAAATTTAGACTGGGGACAGGAGGGTGGGTTAATGTATACTTCAATTTGTTAACTGCAGTGATTTTCTCTCTCTCTTTTTTTTTTTTTTTTTTTGCGGAACCGGGGATTGAACTCAGATCCTGCGTTTGCCAGTCAAGCGCTTATCCTACTGAGCCATCTCCCCGGCCCCTGCAGTGATTTTCAAATTTAGGATTTTTTATTGCTAATGATTTGAATATTCCATAAGTTTCTTGCTATTTCCCATTTGTTTAGGTGGATGATTTTAATTCTTTTCATAGTAAATTTTCTGGTGTTGCAGGAAAAAGGTTAATATCACTAACCCAGCAGATGTCGCCAGAAATTTGCTTTGTTCACCACCAGTATATGAGTAATCGTAAGTCTCAAAAATCATAATAGTAATAAACAACAGGGGTCATTTTTCCTAACTTCCTCTATGTTCAGATGTGGAATTTCTGTCTCACAAGAGGAAATGCGACTTAACTTTGGTGCCAATGGACAGAACATTCTACTGTGTGACATAGAGGAGCTTTGAAATGCACTTAATAGCTGGTTTTATGCCTTGATTTCAAGGTGGAAGGAAATTGGTCACAAATCTCTGATTTCAGTCTCAAACCAGTAGGTGCTTAATATTCCTGTATTTGATTAAGGCCCACTTGAATTACATTGGTTCTATTAAAAAATTTAGGGCCCCAATCCATTGTCCTCTAATCCCCTTGGACTTTTTCAAGGTATGATACTGGGTTTTCTCCAAAATTCCCAAACCGCCATGCAACTTGTTTTTAAAGCAGTAGTAAGGAGGAATTGTTCCTACCTTGCTCACCAGTTGTGGTTGAGAAATGCCAAAAACCCTTTCCAGGACGGCACAACTGCAAGTTGCAGGCTGGAGTGCCAGGCCTATCGGTCATGCTGTCTCCTAGGAGAGCTGCCGCGTGTGGACAGCTTCAAGTTGCAGACACCTCATATGAATGAATGATAAGGTAACTAAGAAATGTCTGTATTGTATTTGAAGACTGTTTGCCATAAATCTGAAGTCTCAACCTGATGTATTCCAATTTGGTATGCTAACAAAGTAATGTAAAGTCTTTATTATATAAGATTGTAAACTCAGTTCAAAATTTAACTGAAAATATAAAGCCCACATGATTTCTATATAGTAAATTGAACTGTAAAGGTAACTTACGTGTGATTCTGAATACACAGATAAAATGTTTTTATTCCTCATGTTTTACTTTGATGGCTTCTCATGAAATAGAGCTCAGACTTTACAGCATCAGCTAAGCTTTCCTTCAGAACTGTGTTTTATTACAAACTGTGCTGAATGGTAAAACGATGCCGGAATTAGATGGAGAACTGATGCTCGGTGGCGTCCTGTGAGAGCCGCGGTGCTTTTCGAAGCCGGGAGCTCACCCAGCCACCCTTTGCAAACTTGGATTCGGTGAAACAGCTCTCTAGAAAAGGAGCTGGGCGTTGAACCCTGATAACCACAGTGCAGATCTAGGGTGGAAAAGCCAGGTTGTAATCTGTCTTGGCTTTCAGAAATCCTTTGTCCACGGACGGTGGCATACCCCTGTAATCTCAGTTCTCTGGGAGACTGAGGCAGAAAGATCCCAAGTTAAGCCCAGTGAGGGCAACTTAAGACCCTGTCTCAGAATTTAAAAAGCAAAAAAAGGCTCAGCCACTGGTTCTGTGAAGGCCTTATATTACACTCTTGAAATGAAAGTGGGTAACATGAAATTAATTTTTCTAGATGTTACCATTAAAGGTTTGTCACTGGGGCAGTACAACCAGGCTGGAAATTTAAAGGTGGAGATTTCTGACTGGCTGGCCAGGTTAAGGGCTTGCTGTGCTCTCAATGCTTGTCACCACACTCCGTGTCATAAATGTTAGTTGCTCCCTGAGGCAAGAGGGCAGGGAAGCTCTGTGTCACTCTGCAAGGCTCTGTATCAGGGATGTGTATGTGTGCTAGGAGTATAAATGCACTAACACTACCTACCATACCTAGATGGGGCAGAGTGGTTTAGATTTCTTTTTCTAACCCATGAGCTGCTAACTTCAAAGAGTTTTAAGAAATTCTAGTATTCTAGTAATGTACAATCTTTGGGTAAGTGAAAGCTAACCTAAAAGGCCTAACAGTCCTGCCAGCTCAAACTATTAGTGGTTCAGAGCTGCCTGGCAAGGCGACGCGAGTTACAGGCGTGTGCACCTCAGGAGAAGCGCCTCGTGCATACCCCGCGGGTGCTAAGTCTCCAGAATGGTGCACATTCTCACCTGGGAAAGAATGTGGGTGTGGAAGGCCCACACCAGGCCCAAAGGGACTCTGCCGGCAGTGTGAGCTAGTCCTGTGTCGGAAATGGACAAATGAGGATCGTTTTTCCTTGGGCTGTGCTTGAGGGTTGGATGCCAGGCAAATTCCCTGCCAAATTGCCCAGACTGGCCTCCAGTGTGCCACGTTCCTGCCTCCGCCTCCCAAGTAGCTGTGATAACAGGTGTACACATCATTCCTAGCTTGACCTAAATTTTCATTTGCTTTGGACAAAAAGTAGCCAAAGGCTCAATAGAGCAGATAGGGTAAAAAGCAGTTAAGCTGGTAAGTAACCTTCCAAACCCTGATTCCTCCCACAATGCTGCTCCTGTGGCCCCCAGCCCTTGGTAGTATTGCTGATGGTGGGGTGAAGTGGCCCTGGGAACAGATGACGTGGCCCTGTGGGCAGTGGAGGGTGGATGCATCCTCCCTGCCAAGCCTGCTTCAGCTGTGTATACCTAGAGCAACTAGTTATGCAGCTCAGCATTAGTTACCTGAACTTCGTGGATTTTCTTTCATCTGTTTTCTGCTTTTTTAAGTTGGGATTTCTGCAAGGTTTTCTTATTCTTTTCATGCCTTCAGTTTTCCACCCCAGCGACTTTCAGTTTGAAGGCCAGGATGCACCGGCCTCCCTCTAGTGAGGAGGCGGTTTCCAGCAGCCCTCCCGGTCCCAGTGAGTCTGGTCTGATCACAAGATCTCGGCTCCCGTGATCTGAGGAGCCTGACTTTCTCAGTGTGTCCCTTGAAGCAGAGGTACTCAGCGAACCGGCGGGGAGCTGTTTTTCATCTGAAAACCTGAGCGGTCACCTTGGGGAGTTAGTTCTTGTCCCGGGGCGCTGGCCGTTTCCGGAGCTCGAGGGGGTGGCCCCCAGCGCGGACAAACTCAGGCTTTGGAGAAACAGTCAAAAGGCGGCTGGGGGCCTTCTGCAGGAGCTAGAAAGGTCTCAGGGGTCCGGGTCTTCGGCCACAGCCACGGCAGAGCGCGTGCAGGTCTCCCTGTGCGGGCTGGCGGGCCACTTGCCTCACCCTGAGGATGGCGCAGAACCGGGCTTCGGGACGGGTGGAGGGTTCCCCCACGTGCAGAGGATTTTCCCAGCCACAGCCTCTGCAGGTTGCGCCCCAGGCCACCAGGCGGTGCTCGCGGACCGCCCCCGCACCCTTCTGCAAACGTCAGTGGACTTCCTCCAGCGCCCGCCCAGCCCCAGGGGTGGGGGGGGGGTGTCCCAGGGCAGGTGATAGGGCCATGCCACGCATGCCGTCCAGCTGGTGCCCTGTCTTTTGGTTAGCAGTGTCCTTTGGAGTACATCCATTAGCAGCACAAAGCCACCGAGGATGCTCTGGAGTCACTCAGAGGGGAGGGGGCTAAGAAACAGGCACAGCTTGGGGACCCTTCATTTTGGGTAGTTCCTGGAGGTGCTGGGAACAGCTCTCTTGGCTGTTCAGTTCTTGCTTTTTTTATTGTTTTGGCTCTGAGCTCACTTTGTAACCCTGACTGGTCCCGAATATGAAACGGTCCTCCTGCCTCAGCCTCCTGAGTGCTGGGATTATAGTTTTGTGCCTATACTAGCTCTTCCTTTTTGAGACCGGGTGCACTTTGCACCCTAGGCTGCCCCCAAAGTCAGGGATCCTCCCGCCTCAACCTCCAGCCCGCCCAGCTGCTGCGCCTGTTTCTGGCCCAGCGGGCAGCGGGCTCCCCGGGACCAAGTCTCAGGACGCGTGCAGTGCGGGGTTTGCCAGCAGGTCTGCTCGAGTCCTGTTGCCGGGAGCTGCCAGAATTGCCTCACAGACCCAGGGCCACCGAGGCCGGCGTCCCCGTGACCCCCGCCCGGGTGCCTGGCTCTTGGGGGGCCCTGGACTTCATTTGCAGGGGTGTTGGTAGCACTGTCGCCTTCCTTTGGGAGGGGGGTTCCAATTCTGAGACCAGGTCTCTATCCAAGCTGGCCTGGAACTTCGGGGTCTCGGGCCTCCAGCCTCCCCCGCCGAAGGTTGTCATCTGGTGTTTGTTTCCCCCAGGTGGAGGACGCCCCCAGGACTGCCTGGCTCACTGCTGGCCTTCACACTCGGCCTTCTGGTCAGCGGTACTTTCTTGCCTGCCCCTACACGTGGGGTTCTGTGCTTTGTGGTGCTAGGGGTACCCTGAGCTATAACCCCAACCCTTTTTTAAAATTGTAACTTCGAGTCAGGGACAGACTAAGCTGCCCGGGACGG